AACCAGAAATTTTCGATATTTGCCTGTGATGAAAGCGAATCCATTTTCCCTACTTATTTCGTAGCGGTAAAGCTGCCCTTGAGTTATTTCCTAACCTCATCCCCACCGTCCTGGTCTCTAAAAAAGAACTTTGCTCTCCCGCAGGCTCTTCCTTGAGGCGCTCGCTGGCGCTGGCTTGCTCTGTGCCTGGTTCCTGGTGCAGGCGTCCTGGGGGCTGTCCCTGGGCAGGCTGCCTGGGGGCGCGAGGGGGCCTGGCCCCTGGCCCCGTGGTCTCAGAGTCCTTGGGTTTATCTGCTGGGGCCTCCACAGAGCGCTCACCGTGTTGCGGGTGCGTCGGTTCTCTGCTGTCAGCTGTGATTAGCCAAGGGTTGGCAACAACTATGGGTTTGTGTTCTTTTGGTATCTGTTAGGACACTCCAAATTATTTTCTATCTGTGAACTCCTCAGTTTACCCTCTCTCTTTTTTTTTTTTTTTTTTTGAAAGCTATGATGCTCTTTATTCTCACTACTAAGGTAAAGGTTGTGCAGGTAATACCGTTTACTACTTCGGTATCCATCCTAGCAAAACATTCAGGTGGTTCTTCTGTATCATGGGTTTGAGGACAGCAGCCCTGATTTCCAAAAACCGAGACACAACAGGACCATTTGGGTTTGCCATCTGTAAGACATTTCCTTCTAGGATCCCAGGGTCGGTTACGGGGCTTCCAGACATCCCTACAGCCTGGGGAAGGAGACAACAGGTTTGTCACTGTCACACAGATGCATGTTAAGCCTAAACTCTTCAGCACATCCCGCTGTCGCTGGAACACAGCCTGCCTGTGCCTGGAGGAACACCCCCAGCATCTCTCTAAATGATACCCAGTCACTCATCCCTACGTTCCTTTCTACACAGTCTCGGGTTTTTTTGCTGTTAATACCGAGGTGCTGACCCTGGCAAAGCAGCCAGGTGTTGTGGCAAAGCGCCTACCCCAGTCCTAGCCAGCCATTATGCTTATGGAAATACTTTCAATTTCAAATTTTTTGAGAAGGTCGGGCAAGGATTGTTTCTGTTCTTTCTTTTTTTTATTTTTATTTTTTGTTATTCTTCCCTGCAGAATTGCTTTCTTTCTGAACACAGCAGTATTTATTACTTACTTTCCAAACTTCTTTTAATCCTGCAACTGCCATTAGATAAAACAATGAACCAAGTTACTTATTCATAAAGGCAACGTAAATATTTGTTCTTTGCTGTATTCCAATAAAATAATGTTGTCATGGATTATTGGCAGTAAATTATTTTAAGTTATACGTTTAAAAGTAAACAAAGCTGTATACATGAAAACTATCTGTGATCATTTTTCACAAAGCATCTTATACTTTTCCATTGTTGGTATGAGATCTGAAATCTTAATGCTTGTATTTTGATTTTCAGTGTCTCCCTATTTCATTTCTATTGCAAATGCTTTCTACAGAGAAATTATAAACAGTTTTCTACATTCACTGCTCCCCTTCCCATCTTCCCGGTCTGGCCCGATTCTGATAAAATCATTTGTATCTTGTCATTAATAGTGGTTCACTGAGTGAATTATAATTCTCTTGTTTGGGTGCTGCATTTTAACATTCGGCTGTTGAAATGTACTTGGGGAGGAAGAAGGGCTTCCAGTCTCAAAAAACTCTTTTTTTTTTTTTTTTCTCCAAATTTCTAGAAGCTATTTGCTAGTCTAGGAGAGAATAAAGCAAAAATGGATGCTCTTTAATTTCCAGTCTGCTGTTTATTTCAAAAGCAGATTTTCTGTTTGATAGAAACGTTGTGAGGCATTATTCTCAAGTGTCAGCTAGACCCTGTGTACCTATAAAGTATATAAAGAACTAGGATATTTTGCACATATATAAAAAAAAAAAAAACAAAAAACACACCAAAAAACAGATTTTAGCACGTGAATCCTGCCCCGGTAGAGGTTTTCCTCAGCCACAGTGGTCACACAAATTCCCAGCCTACTTGCTTTAGTACAGGGTGCGTTTACGAAATGGGCTCTAATAGATCCTTCAGAAAGTTTCATAGACTTTTTCTTGTCTTTTCGAACGGATTGAGACACAAGCTTAAACAAATGGCAAGATCTTCAAGTTAGAATCATTTTAAAATTAAAAACGGGTGACCCCAAGGGCTGATACTTTTTCCTCTTTAAAGAAGAAACTATAAGTTACAAACATGTAATTTCTTTCTTATTCTAAGAATGCTGAATATATTTCCTTATAATATCACAGGTCTCCGGGACCTTTCTCTTCACACTGATGAACTTCTTCCATGAACCTCCAGCGCCCCAGTGCTGTCAGGAGGTTGAAACCTCCAAGATGCGTCTCAATAGTTCATTTTAGGATTCTTTAAGACAGCAAGTCTGTAAATACGGTGCAAAACCTGAAGCACAAAATGTAGGAAGTTTCTGCTGCTTCTCATCATGTCTGGGTTTTGAATAACGCTCCATGCTGTGCGTTGTAGCTCTAAACAGAAGATATTTATAGATATATAATCTTGCCTACCTACAGTTACGTTTCTAAATGCATTAGAGTGCAGAGCCATTGGCTTCTGTGGGAGGTGCTGAATGGTCTGGCACTCCGATGACTAAAGATAAACTCTTAGCAACCTAAATTTAGGCACCTCATTTAAAAAAAAACCAACTTTGGCCCAGATATGTGAACCTAAAAGAACGAGTTACAATAATTCATTTCAAATTCCCTGCTCCCCAGACTGAGCATTTATTCATACAAATTGCTCACTGTTGCAGATAAATCACAAAACGCAGCCAATGCCATAACTCTGCACCTGAGCATTATTTAGTTCTGCTTTGCTAATGTTGGCAGCACTTTGCTTTTTCTCGATATGTTCCAGCACCTGGCTACTTGGGCTTTGTCTGAATATGCGAGAGGGGTGAATAGGGAGAAAATCTACAAGTTGTTTTTTTTTTTTTCCCTCGCTGTCATTTCTGCCAGCTTTCCTAATAGTTGTGACTCCTCAACTAGGTGGTCAGTTTAATTTACCTGCCAGCTTAAAAGAAACACAACGGCGACAATTACCAAGGGAGACAGGTTTTTTACTGCATGCTTAGGAGAGGATTACCGTGTCTCTAGTGGCTCTCATCTGCTTTGGCACCGAGGACATTTAATTTCCCATAATACTGTTTGATGATGATGATGATGATAAATACTGTGCCTTGTCTGTGTTGATTTTTCTCTCTTTTGGTTTCTTTGTGGTTTCTCTTTTGGGAATTTTTGTCTCTTTAAAGGAGTACTTCACCTTGTGGACAGGAGAAATAGATTGAGGTATGTGCGTCGCCCACAATTTTCTCTCAGATTTGTGTAGGCTGCACAAACAAGTAAAGTTTTAAAACACAGTTACTTGGGCAAGGTTTGTTTTGGTTTTTTGGTGTTTTTTTTCCCTTTCTTTTTAAGGCAGTATAAACTAAGAATAATGCTAAAAATGTTGATGTTGGCTTCTTCGCCAGGTTTCGGTTTGCTTTTTGCTAGGATCAGGTAACGGTGCTCTCTTTGCCTGTATTAAGGATGGATGTCTTGTCATTTCACTGCAGCCTTATAAGTGGTGGGCGTTTATTCTAAGCCAGTCATCTGTAGTCAGTGTCATGAGAGAAGGTGATTCATCCCATCTGACGTTAAATATCTGAGAGGTTTATTATGCAGCGTGTTCTGGAGAGGAAGGGAGTTGCTGATGTTCCTGCCCAGTCCAGTGCCGCAGTCTACAGAGCCTCTCTGTACCACTGCAGTTATTTCTGAGGACACACAGAATGAACAGAACACAGAAATTATCCCGGTTAAAAAACTGTAACTAGAAGTATTCATCTGTATTTGTTTTTTGGGTTTTGTTGTTGTTTGTTTGTTTGGTTTTTTTAACCAGGTTCATTTCAGTGATTCATAGGGCCGTTTATAACATAGCGATAAGAATATCTGTCCAATAAACGGGGTCATATTGGCACAGAAGAAAAAAAGTAGTTGAAGGCAGAGACATTCAATACTTTGTGTAATGAACTGCCTCCTGAAATACATGTGTGCACTGGGACTGTCCTGTTTTATTAGGTGAGATGAATCCACAATAGTTGTTTAACCGTGTGTTAAGCAGGACATTAACAGTGTCGTCGTCGCTGTAGTGAACACCTCTTGATGCTTGATATTGCTTTATTAGACTATAAAGTATCTTGATGTGAGCTTCTCCATTTCAAACACAGGGAGCAGTTGGAAACTTCTAAATATATATTGCTAAATCCTTCCACTGAGGTCCTCAGTGCTAGTTGTGCTCTTTGTGCTAGCGGTCTTTCCCACTTTTAGCATCTTAACAAACCTGTATGTGTATGGATAAATGCGCTGCCTTACGAGATGGGCTGATTCTTTATAGTCTGTAGTGACCATCCATGTCCTCACCAGGAAGCCAGAGAAAGCATCCATGCAAATCATGACTAGCATCCATGCAAATCATGACTTTCTCTGGGGTCTTACGTAAGCATGAAGAGAGGATGACCCATGTAAACTTCTCCGGAGTGTCTCCGAGCGGTATTAGCTAACAGTCTAACTACCAGAGCTGTAATGAGACAGAGGCCGTGTGTTTGGGGATACTGGTAAGAAACCAGCCTACTAGGATGCATTAGATATATCGGGGGGAAAGTAAATCTCCTGAACTGCATGTTCTGTGTGCAGTTGTTCACCGTAGCATCCCTTATTACGTTGAGGGACCACCGTGCTTCAGTATGCTTCTGTGGTACATCGAGGGAGTATCTTCACGGTACAGGGTACTTTGGTTTAGACACTGAAGTCAGAGAAATGTGACCACCACGGATAAAATACTGTTCCATGAAGCAGCAGTGAAGGAGATGAAAAGAACTATACTGAAACAATGCCAGTAGCAATGAAAGCAATCCAAATGAACTTTGTAGTACCTCTCTATGTAAGTTCTTTCTGGAATATGTTTCACGTGTTTTATTTATTTTTTATTATTATATTTCTTTTTATTTTTGTAGGCTGTGGAAACCAACCTTGCATCAAAGGATAGTCACTGGGTCTATGTAAATGAGGTAAGAAAGTCAAAAGAGACGACCTAGCTTGGTACATTCACTCAACGCTGTCTTTTTGTTGCCTGTGCTTTGACCCACCAAACTGAGCGTACACTCGTTGTTTTTACGTTTTGAATGGTGCGAGATGCAGACTCTGTGGTGTCGTTGCTTGCCTGTCCAGCTGAATGAGCGTAGGTTGAATACCAAAGGTCAAAATAAGGCTTCCAACATACCTCATAGCAGCTGGGGGACTTTCTTTTTTCCTTCATGGTGACGCTACTTCATTAGCTATTTAGGAAGTGGAGAATATCTCAAAAGAAACCTTCAACCCATGCATCTGTATCTGCCAGAATTTCACCCTTTGCTGCTGTGCAAGCCCGCACTCAGACACCAGGAGAGGGAGGAGCGCTGAGGCTGGCTGCAGGCTTAGCTCCTGCAAACATGCATTTACATGATACACAGGTTTTCTCCAGTGCAAAACTGCGTTGGGGTTTTGGCCGGGATCCAGGATAGCATAGATTTAAAATGTGATATTTCCTCTCCGCAGAAAATGGCATCCTGTCCTGCTACTATGATTATTTATTTTACCTTAGTGCCATGACGCCCTGATGGGAATCCGTGCAGACTCGTATTTAAAAGGCAATGGAAAGCTTGAAATGTTTTACCCATATGTAATAATTTTTAACTCTACCGATTGTTCACGATAAATGGCACTATTTCATATATTTCTGGGTTTAATAATGATTCATTAAAAGATAGTAAAATATCTAAGTTAAAAAGTGCTCACTGTTTTATTTTTATATTATAAATGCATGGCCTCTAATTTAATAACCAATTCCTGTGTTAATTTCTCATTCCTTTCTTTGCACCTAGCTAATAATTTTGGTTAGGCTACTTTTAATAGTAGCTATAAATTGTATTGTGTGGCATGAGAAAGGCTCTGTAATTAAATAGGGGTTAGGGAAAGCGAGTTAAATCTCTGCTTATAAAGGCTTTATAAATTCTTTCGAGTCCTTGTTACATTTAAGTACCTCCTGATTTGTCAGCTGCCGTAATGACCCACTACAAAATACCAGCACGCTGCCCAGAGAGGCAGTGTTTATATCCACATAAAGATAACGCAGTGCGTATTTCCCTAAACATTTATAGGGAGGGAGTGTTTGTGAGTTTGTTATTGCTGCTGTTACTGTTCAGATATTACAATTCACTTCATGAATCTCTAACACCACAAATAAAAACCTTCAGCGCTCATACACCACGCGGGGTGTGTCAGTTCCGCTTTTTGTTTGTGAACTTTTAATTTTTTTCTCTTCACTGGTCGGATACTGGGTAGGAAAGCTACGATAGCAACCTGCGAAGCTAAAGTATAACTTTTGAGTGAAAAATATTAGTGCACGTACTTATATCTCGAAATGCAGTTAAATTAGAACAGACGATTGCAGAAACTTTTCATAAAACCTTGGAGAGCAATTTGCAGACAAAAAGAGGAGATGACGGGGTCTTGGTTATCCTTTTTTATTATTATTATTTTTTAACCGAAGAGCGTTGCTCTTCGTGTAATTGAAGTTACTGTAAAAAGAAGATATGTTAAGCATCCCCGTGGATGTATCTATAGAAACGTGGAGGTTCTTTAGGATTTACTTTTTATTTAATATTGTGCAGACACCCCTATCCCTACCAAGAGGACAGACTGATCATGCTTTCCGTGTACATGTTTCCAGTTGGTATCACTGAGACCTGCACGTGTACTCGATGGAAAATGTGTTATTCCTTGACTGGATGTTGACTGGGGCTGTGATTTGAAGAATTGAGTTAATTTTTAATTTCCGACAGTCAAATCAGCTCTTTTTGATGGAATTCCACGTGTTTAGCAAGCCAGATGTAGTGTCTTCTGTAAATGGACCAGATACTTAGCCAGTCCTTTTTTACTCCCAGGCTGAGTGAGAATCCTACACTTTTCTGTTCACTCCATTGTCTGTGTGACCTGATGATCCCACTGCAAGGAAAAGAGAGGCATAGGGCTGACCGACCCGAAGGAGCAGGAGTAGGAAGAGAACACAGTGACCACCATGGCCATTGGGGTTCCTTGTATGAGGAGCATTGGATAGTAAAGAGGCTCTTTAGGCTTTTCTCGCTTTAGGGAACCATTTAATGTCCTGGTACAGGTTAAACTACCGAGGTCTGACCGATCTTGAGCACCTTGTGACAGCCTTCCCTGCCTCCCACCTCTCGTCAGGCCACTGAGGATCTGAACCTTGAACTTACCTTGCTATAGCAAGAATCATTACATAGCGCTCTATTATTTCAATAAGAGATTTTATTATGGTTTTACTTGAATTAAATCTACTTTAGTCTCTCTGTATTGATAATCCGATAAACATTTGTTGGTTTGTTGTTTTTTGTGGGGTTTTTTGCCTTTTGCTTCTGTTCTATACAGCAGGGTAGGAGTTAGGTTTTGGAGTTCGAGCATTATCACTTTAGTTTTGTGATGAGCTAACTTAAAACTGTATGGCTGGTAAGCTCGTTATGCAACAAATGAACACCCATGGGATGTCAGAGCTGGTCTCAAATTACGGAGCCGTACTGTCAAGATCCTGCATTTTCTAGTTTCCAGTAACCCAAGTCTCTGTGCTGAGGTATCTGCTCAGTTTGGATGTTATTGGCGGTGCAAAAGGACTCAGTCGTCTTTACAAAAAGTCTGATGGATTGGGAGTTGGATTCATTGTATGGGGTTGAAAGGCTGAAACATTACATGGCAAGTCTTCCGGGATAAGAGAATATACAGGGATGGGTCTTTGCAGGCAGTATCATGCCCTCATATGTCCTCTTTGAAGGCAAAGTCATAAAACCCTGACTGTTTTAAAAATGTATGTTTGTAAGTATGTCTCTCCTTATTTCAGACATTTTATGTTTCAAAATTGCAGGGCTCTCGAAAGTAGTGGAGATCTGAGGGGGGAAAAAAAAGCATTTCTAACCATCCTCCCCGATCTAGATTTAAATTTCATCATCTTCACTTTCATTCATCTCGCAATACTAAATCTTTCCTTGCATACATTTAGGTAGTGAGTCTGCCCAAATTCTGGCTTAAACATGCCAAAAACTTTTTGAAACCCAGAATATTTGTGATTTCTTCATAAATACTTGCAGAAACAACCAACTCTTCAGAACAGTGACTAGCCTGTGCTTGGCTTTGTCTCCAGAACAGCCCCAAAGGTTTTACCATTGCCTGTGTTGGGAGTTGCTCATGACCAGCAATTTTGACCCTAAAGAAGATCTGTTAGAACGTTTCTGGTGTTCTGGTTGTACCTTTGATGTTTATGCCTTTAAGCGTTGATGAAGTGACCTACCAGCTTTGAGAGATCTGTGCTATTTTTAACGTGTGCCATGACGGGCACAGCTGTAGATGCTCCCCTATTTTGGGTGTTTGTTTCTTGTATTTTTTCCCCTTTTTTCTTTCTTAATTTTATTTTTCTCTTACGTATCTTTTTTGCCTGACATCCAGCATCTCTGTTGGTTCCTCCTGACATTTTTTTTGGTTTTCTCCTTCTCTTTTTTTGCCCGTTCAGAGAAAGTGCTGTGCATTGCCCAGGGCATATGTCTGTGGGAGAGGCACAAGAGCAATACTTGAAACTGAATTTGTATGTGGTTGTACCAGGAACAATGTTCTAGGAGTCTGTGTCTGCTTTTTTTTATTAACAGCAGCAGTAGGTCTGGGGGTATAAATAGCACTAGAGAAACCATGTTTCCCTTTTTGTGGAATGTTTCATGGTTTTCACATTTTTCTCCATACCAAGGGGAGAGAAAAGATAAAAGAAATTGTTCGGCAAAACTGCAATTCAGATGAAAAAAATATTCAATTCAAACACTATTTTGTTCCATCATATCAGTATGTTTAATTCTAATTCCAAATTTATAAACATTTGTTATTTTTAATTGTAAATCAGTAAAGGACACAAAGCAATCAACTACTCTTCGAGGAAATGGAATGGGTACTGAATCTGAGTGATAACTCAGATGAATTGTTTCACCGTTATCACACCCTTCCTTTTCATTTCTTTTTCAACAAACTTTCATCAGTATTCAGAAGTTTCGCTGAAAGTTGTAAGACGTGGTAGGACAAAGCACAAGGCTGCTGGTTGAGATAGGAGATTTTTTTTTTTTTTTTTTTTTTTTTTTTTTTTTTTTTTTTTTTGTGAAGCACAGGGAGTGATGAAGAGAGGACTGGACCTAGTGTTGCATGTCCAAACCATACTTGCTCGGAAGATAAGGAGATGTGAGGGTCAAACCTGTTGAATAATTGTGTGGAAATACACAAAAGACATACCCTGAGGAAGACTTTTTTGGAAGTGCATTTTTTTGACAGAAATGCCCCAAATAAAAGAAATGGAAAGAATTCCCTGACAGTTGAAAAAGTAATGTTGGGGCACAGAGAAGGCTTCACAATTTCCTGTGATTGACAGTTTATCCCTACATGTTTAAAAAGTTAAGGCAGCCATCGGTTCAGATTTTGTTATGGCTAAGGAAGAATGGGCTGAGTATGTCAAAAGATAATTGGTGTGAAAGTTATTGTGAGATGGTAACGTGCACTGTTTGAAGAAGAGGAAGAAGTGTGGAAAGGAGAATAAGGATAATGGATGGCAGTAGAAAGATCATCCAACTTCACAAGTTTAGGTGAACTAGTAGTAGCGCTTTTGAAAAGATAATATGATGAGTAAACGATGGCAAAAGAACTGTGGAGTTCTGTGAAGATGAAGGCATATTGGCTTATTGGAATGGTTGCAATGGTTTATCATTATAGGTCTTGAAATCAGAGAGGAATTCTAAAGAAAAAGAGGTGAAAAAAAGGGCAAAGGAGGAGCGTAAAGGTGAAGTAAATGATTATAAAGTGAGGCTGGGGTACGAAATGACTCATACCAGGGGTCTTAAAAAATATTAAGCAAAGTTTAGATGTAGCAGAAGATAAAGGGGAAAGCTTTTCTGAAAAAAAAATCAGAATTTTTTCAGATTTTTTTTCAGAAATT